TATAATATAATATAATATAATATAATATAATATAATATAATATAATATAATATAATATAATATAATATAATATAATATAATATAATATAATATAATATAATATAATATAATATAATATAATATAATATAATATAATATAATATAATATAATATAATATTTGAGGTAATGTATATAAAAAAAAGGAAGAGTTACTTCGTAATCCAACTCTCCCCTCCCTCAAGATTGAAAATTGTGGAGAAAAGATAAACAATAGAAGGGGAAGGGTGAGGGGGAGGGGGATTAAATAGTATATTAAAAGCTCACACATTTTTGGTAGTGAAATAGTAACATTAGTCAGATGGAGTCTAAAATGAGGTCATATCAAACATTGAGTATTTTTTATATTGGTTCATCTTAACTATTGAAATTATGTTCAATTCCTAATTCAACCAAATTAAGTTTCACTATACAAGTGTTCTTTCAAGAAGTCATTTTTGACTTAATTCTAAGTACTCTTTGACTTGCCTCTTCAAGCAACTACCTAAGTATTATTTTCACAAAAGCCTCTCCAAGCTTACCAACCAAGTATTCGTATAGTGAAGCCTCTCCAAGCTCAAAATAAGTATTCTTTTATAAACAAACCTCTTTAGACTCAACCTTATAACAATGGTTATGTGGGTTACACAAATATTGTGTTCGTCTCACTTAGACATTATGCAATCATTATAGAGCAGTAAGCTTTTACAAGAAAGAATAAAAATTATTCACAAGTATAATTTATAGTGTGTATGTTTCTATACAAGTCTCTTTTGTATTGTGTCTCTTGTATTACGTGTCTCTTTCTTTCTCGAGCTTCAAATATTCTTATATTATAGCTTGGAGAAGATCACCCTTGTAATATTTTGAGTCCAACTCATAGGTTTGCTTCGTCTGTCTTCATCATCTTTCCTTGTGATGACAGGTAAATATTGACTCATTTAATGTAAGTATTAAATGTATTTCACCAAATGATACCTCTTATCTAATCAAAAAAGCTACTTATCATCTTTCCATACCAAACGAAGGTTGTAGAAGTAATGTAAGCGCAATGCAACAACAACAATGTCTTTATCCGCTTTTCTCCATGATTTAAGAGATCTTTGTCCTTGGTTTTGACGAAAAACATGATTTTTTTTATTTTTAGTAGATTTGTAAGTTCTGAGATGACTTTCTAGTGCAATCTGTTAAGGAATGAAGAATTCAAAACACATTTTATCATTAGTCTCAATGAATAATGAACATTTACTGTATATGAGATAATTTTTATGCTTCATCTGATTTACATCATCTTATAGACGATTTACATCTTACACTTTGTTGGTTAACTTATTTTGGATATCAAATTCTTACACCCATAATTATGTGATACTCAATTCATTTTTATAATTTGTTATGAAATATAAATGATGAAATATGGTTAGTTATAAATTTAAATATTTTTTAATATAACTGATTTTGAATATTAATCCTTAACGATAAATAATTAAAATTTTATTTTATATTGAAAATCTTGAAGATTAATGATCTTAAGACTGTCTTGATAATGAAGGAGAATATCTTTCATCATTTAAGTTAAAATACTATCTAATAAAATTAGATTACATGTTTATTTATACTATTATATAAAGGAGATATCCCTTTTGTTAATTAGAATTTGATTCTCAATTTTTAGATGA